GTATAGTATAGTATAGTATAGTATAGTATAGTATAGTATAGTATAGTATAGTATAGTATAGAGTATAGTATACTAACCCACACTAAATCCGCCAAAATCGTCGATGTGGACATTTGTCGGAGGAAACTCCGACTACACTTGACCGAGAAACATTTCATGCGAACGTTGAACTTACCGTTGAACGTTGCACTCATACGCGTACGCGTACGCGGAACTGTGCGATATAAGCCATGCATCACTGCGCAGCAAAATACTCGATCTATGCTTAATATCAAGAGCGTATAACGAAGACACCTGCATGACCCAGAAACACTTCATGCGAACGTTGAACTTACCGTTGAACGTTGTACTCATCGCAGTGCAATACTGAATAGAGAGTGTCAAGGGACACGCCACTCAACGCGCGCACCTACCTCGTATACATTATGCTAACCTATTCAGAATATATAATCACATTCGTCTATACGCACGGTAGCCTAGGTGATCATATGGCACCTATAGGATGTGAGCAGTATTTGTCAGACAAACATAGATGTTAAAGTAGATAACCGTAACGCTAACGTACTTACCATTATGTTCCCGTAAGGCGTGCGTCGACGGCATGTATCACAACAGTAGCATGATGCCTCCCCTAACCGTTCACATCGTACAAGCGACTGCCAACTTGAAGCGACGACGCCGACACACGTGCGACACGAATTATTCGCCGCAAACGACGAACCCTACTCTCCGAAGATTCTCCCCGCCTTTCCCCGCGTTCACTTGCACTTGGCAACGCGAGCAGTACCGACGCGAGCACGCACGCTACGGTAACGCACGTATACGAACGAGCGTTTTTCGCCGCCAGTCAAAACTTCCCACGTCTTCGTAACGACTGGTGGCAGTGCCGAGAAGAGCGGGTCGATGACAGCGCGATACGGCGGCGGCGGCGGCGGCGGTCACTCACGCACTCACTCACTCACTCGCGCACTCACTCAGTCACTCTGGCTCACGTCTGTACACTATATGCAGAATTTCTAACATCATCGCGTCATCATTAATGTCGACATGGGGCCGCGGCGGACATTTTCTTCACGCTCATTACTGATGATATATAAGCCCCTATAACATCTAGCCACAGACGCAATGATTAGAGCAATGCCAGATGCAACAGTAACTCCGCTGTGCCTCTTCTTAGTCCTTTCCTGGACCCGCACCGACGCTTTAATTTAGGGCTTCTTTCGCATGATCGTGGGTTTGTTGAGACGCGCATCGCACTCAAGTGCCGCGCGCCATCTTTTCCCGATGCGATTTCTGCCGGAACCTATTGGTCTGTCAAGGACACGAGACGTCACTTCGTTTAACAAGTAACACGTAGTTTTACCTTGCAGTATAGCCGGTGAGGTCTCAATAGCTGGGCTCAAGCAGTGTAGATATTGGTCGTTGGCATATTTCACGCCCTTATGATGGAGATGGCTCCGTGTGGGTGGCGCTGCACGCATGGCGTGCCATAGCTACACTTCGTTATCGTACAAGTCAATCTGATTGGAGGCAGTGGGTTGCACTGCCAATGCACGTGTTATTTAGGGGGTGGCCAATTATGCGGTTTCATGCTAGATTGATGGGGACGTTCTGGGTGCTTCATAGATTAGATTGATCGGTGCTACGATTTAATCCCGGATGGAAAGAATTGTAAAGTAATGTAATAATTAATCCGTACCGGGATTATGGGTTTATCGCGAGTCGGCTAATAGAAAGCCGGATGCCAGGAAACGTAAAATCAATTGATCATGCATTCAGAATAAATCCTGCATATTTTTAGCAACCGAGTTTTTTTCAAGCGTAGAGCTCTCAAGCAGAATAACATGCATCGCACATATGCATAACAGTGGTCGTACGTTGTATGATCCCCTAACATTGCCTGTGATATACGTAATTTAAACGATACCTACCGCCGTTAACGTGATGGAAAAATATAATTAAAACGCTAAATAAATAATTCGACGCTTGGCCCTGATACAAAACACCGCTCGCATGACATTGTTACGCGTTGACGTGTCTTCGCACGCCTGCATCTTCTGATAATAATAACGAGCACATTCACGCAATCCCATCAGTGGTGTACACACACGTACGCACACGCACACACGCACGCCGAGACGCTGAGAGCGAACTGACAGACGAGATGAGCGCGTGTGCATAATGTTTGACAAGCCGATGAGCGATACGCGAGCTCTTGTAAACCTGCAATCTTATACCGGTCTCTATATATACGTCCGTACGTACCGTCTCTACGTCCGTACGTACCGTCTCTACGTCCGTACGTACCGTCTCTACGTCCGTACGTACCGTCTCTACGTCCGTACGTATGATATTGTATATATAATTATACTACGGAACGCGTCGCCACCGAGTCGGTTGCGGGATTGCATTACATTTTTTTCGATCGCACGCGGACACGTACGTCACTGCGTCGCTGAACGAACCGGGTGGACGTACCGAGTACAAGCGGGCGCGCGTGGACGTCTGTAAGGATCTTAGCTAGTATTAGGAATCCGAACGTCAACTCGGTGTTTTGATTTCGCAGGTTAAAATTATTAATTCAAATCTAAGGATCGCGAGCTAAAAATTGATTTCGCGCTCCAACCTTGTTTGCCGCGAGTAAGGTCTGCGCGGGACGATGAATACAGCGGCGCGCAACGACGTTCGCGAGTGGGTTATATTTACCTTACCGGCTGGCTGCAGTGAGCGTAAACAGTATACTCACGCACGCGCCGCATAACAACGCACGCATGCACCGCAGACATACACACACGTGCAGCGTGTGAGGAGCCGCGCGCGGTGCTGACCTGCGTGAGTGTATACGGGGTACTATAGTATATGTACTAGGATACATAACTAAACGTGCATTACATATCAGAACACTACTATATATATTCATATATATAACACATATATATATAGTAGGTTATATATATGATATATTCATATTATAACACACACAAATCATAATATTATAATATATATATATAATATATATATACTAATATAATATATATTCAGAACACAGAAATATATATGATCAAAATATGACGCGCCAGGCTTCTCTGGGTCTGCTCTACGGTCATTGATTCTATACTATAGCGGCCGATATACAATACCGAGCCACCAACACTACACACACATAGAGCCGGCGTAGACTGTTTATCACCTGCCGCCACACGAGGCTCCGCGACCTTTACGGTCATGACAGAACGTTGGCCTAAAACTCGCCCATGGCCCATAATAGCTTAATGTCATCGAGCATTGCACGTACGCGAACTGTGCGATATAAGCCATGCATCCACTGCGCACGCGAACCTACCTCGACCCCCCGCCTGTACCGGCCATCGCTCTAATATACTACGACGCCAAACGAACAGGCTTCGCACTCCTCACTTCCACTCCTCTCCCACACACTCGCCGCTCCCCACGAGTCGTCACAACATCGCTCTAGTCAAAGTCGGCCGCCTCGTGTGATCCGCACCCCTCGTCGTAACCGTTAAATACGCTCCCTACGCTACCTACGCGCCAAACCCGGCCGATACGTATGTGTCTGCTACCGCATCAGTCTCAGCTACGCTGATAGTGTAGTTACCTGTAGTAGTCGTCCAGCCTGTAGGCTGCTGCTCAGGTAGTCTGCAGTGAGCTGCCAGTCCCGCAGGCAGTACAGTGCAGGGCATGTGTAGTGTAGTGTCAGGTAGTGTAGTGTAGTGTAGTATAGTATAGTATAGTTATAGTACTAGCCCCCTCCCTAGCTCTCCCCCTCCCTCCCCCTCTCGCCGACCCCTCGTTCTGCCCCCTACTCCCCTCTCCTCAATATAGTATGCTATAGTAATAGCTAAGTATAGCATAGTTAGTATAGTATTAGTATATATAGTATAGCTTAGTATTAGATATAGATATAGTTATAGTATAGTGTAGGATATCAGTATAGGTATTCAGATCAGTATCGAGCTATAGTATAGTATATCAATAGTATAGTATACTAACCCATCACTTAAATCGCCAAATATCGTCGATGCTGCGACATTCTTGTCGGAGGCACAATCTCGCACATACACTTGACGAGAAACAGATTCGATCCGACACCGTTGTACTTGCCGTTGAACGTCTCACTCAGACGCGACGCGTACGCGGAACTGGTGCGACTATAAGGCCATGCACACTGCCACAGCAAAATACATCGATCTATGCCTTTAATATCCAAGAGCTTTATAACGAAGACCCCTGCATGAGGCCCAGAAACACTCTCACTGCGAACGTTGAACTTACGGGGGAACGTTCGTTGTACTCATCGACAGTGCAGTACTGAATTAGAGCCAGTGTCAAGGGACGACGCCCAGCACTACTCCGCGCCACTACCTCGATAATACGATTATGCCTAACCTATTCAAAGATATATACATTCAGTCTATACGTACGGTAGCCTAGCGTGATCATATGGCACTAGGATTGTGCAGCGATGGCTATTCTGTCTGACAAACATAGATTTTAGAAGTAGATAACCGTAACGCTAACGTACTTACCATTATGCTTCCGTAAGGCGGTGACGTCTCGCATGTAATCACAACCGAGCTAGCCATGATGCCATCCCCTAAACCGTTCACATCGTACAAGCCGACTGCCAACTTGGAAGCGACGACGCCGACACACGTACGGCGACCACGAATTAATTCTGCCAGCAAACCGACCGAGATATACTCTCCGAAGATTCTCCCCGCCTCTACCCCCGTCACTTGCCCTTTGCAACGCGACAGTACCGACGCGATCACGCAACCGCGACCGGCGTTAACCGACGTATGACGAACGCAGCGTTTTGTTCGCGCCCAGTCAAAACTTCCCACCGTCTTCGTAATCGACTCGGGTGGCGAGTGCCACGAACGGACGTCGATGAACAGCGCGATACGGCGCGACGGCGGCGGCGGCGGGGACTTACGCGCACGCTGGCTGCCTCTAGCGTTGTATTTGTCATACTTCTACTACATACACAGCACAGCACTGTCGATACGCTGCACTGCAGAGAGCGAGAGAGAGAGAGAGAGAGAGAGACGGACGAGACAGAGAGAGATGACGGAGAGAGAGCAGACGCGAGCAGAGAGAGAATAAGAGCTTAGAGAGAGAGAGAGAGAGACGAGAGATACAGATAGAGGGAGAGAGGACTGGCGGCGAGAGAGAGAGAGCGAGTAGAGGGGGAGAGAGAACATCGCCCGCGCACGCATCGAGAAGCAAGGGCGGGGGCGACAGTAGCGCGCGAGTGAGAGAGAGGTGAGTGAAGTCATGGAGTTGATCTATCGCGCGCTTACGTGCGAAAGCCACGAGGCGGTCCGACGTGTCACCGTACAAACGCCGCTGTTTTAACTGACGTTACCGCTACACGATCGCTAGCTGGCGGCCAAGCGAAAATGCGAGTTTGTTTTGCTACACGTCACGCCAGAATATAGGTACTCGAAGAACGCAAATACACGCGCGAGTCGGCGAGCGTGTATAGAACGTTGTAGAGAGCGTCTTGGCTCAGCGTCTGGCTACCGCCTCGCAAACCATTAGCGTGCCGAGAACATGCAGTTTGGCGGGGCTGTGTGTGGGGGCCGGGAGGATACACGACTTCGTCATGGAAAGAAGCGTACTTCACCACTGTATCTCGCATATATTCATCATGGAAAGCGACTTACCATGTACTCGCATACCTCATCACGGCAATAGTGTACTTCATCATGGGAAAGCGTACTTTATCATGCGAATAGCGTACTATTACCAGTACGCGCATACTTCATCACGGAATAGTTGTACGTTCATCATAATAGCTACTTATCCATGAATAGTGTACTTACCATGTACTCGCACTACTTCATCA